TCACCCAGCATAGGCGAATCAAAACAGGCATTTCTCCTGCTTCAACTTACAGATGTTTGGCATTTACAGGTTCCCTCGAGAAAGGGACCATATGTACTATTCACCAATTCATCATTCATATTCCAGAATCGACTACTTTCTACTCCCATAGGCGGTCCTCTCTAGAGTAGAGGACGTTTCAGTTGGAATAATTTCCATGCCGGATCATGCTCCGTTCCACCTTACTCTGGAATTGGGCGCTCATGTCCCTAGATCAGTAGTGGCGAACCTTGGCACTCCAGCTGTGCCAAAACTACAAATCCCAACATGCATTTGCCTCTGGGAGTTATGTCTGTGGCTGTCAGAGCCTTGCAATGCCTCATGGGACTTGTAGTTCCAAAATAGCTGGAGTGCCAAGGTTCGCCACCAGTGCCCTAGATCGTCCCTCTGGAGATTAAATGAACCCCTATTGCAGGACAGTGTGGTATCTTCAGATACCTCTCGTGAACTTGACCAGTTCTTTTAACTTAATACCATTTCTTTTACAAAGGTTTTATTTGTTTTTTATCAGTTTTTTCACATGAGGGTTACAAAAATAACAAGGGTAGGGCACGCAAGCCCTGCAACAAGGAATACAAACAGAAATATACAGTCACAGCAAGGTGCAGAGTTCTGCAGACTCGTATAACAGAAGCTGTAGAACAGGTATTAAAGAACATTGTGGGAGCATAGAAGAGGGGTTGCTGTTCAGTTGTAATGCGTAAGATCCAGTATAGCAGGGGAAAGGATCATCACAGGGGGAACTTTTCGGGTCAGGTGTCTGAGTATCATGGAAACGAGATCAATGGGGTTTATGACCCCCTACACCAGAACATTTAGTACAGATAGGACGGGGCACATCAGACATTACAGGTCTGTGTAGGGATAGGGATAGGCAGGGTAAAGGGAGAGGAGATAGAGAGGGAGTGGAGGACTAGGTGTGGGAAAGAACAAAGGGGGGATTAGGACAGGGGAAGGTGGCACGTTGGGGAAGGGGTCCAGAGGGAGGTGTGAAGTACAGAGCCTTTAAATAGACAGGAGCTGCGGATCGAAGGATGGTGGTTTAGAGTTGTCGATCCAAGGTTGCCAAATCAGTAGGAAGCGGTCATGAGTGTAAACTTAATACCATTTCAGGTCAGAATCCTTTACCTTTGTGGGTATCCCACAAATGTTATATTAGGGGGACTATCAATAGGCACGGCGCCCTTCGGAAAAAAAAAACAGTTCATCCAGAATTCGGACCCACACTGAAGAGATTGGAGTCCGACATAAGGCTACCATAGACTATGCCTCCTGGGCTGATCTGACCAATCTTAGGATGGAATTTAATTCCTTATTGACGGATAGGGTTGAAGCGCAGCTGACTAAATGCAGACAATCTTTTTACGATTTTGGCAACAAACCCAGTAGACGTTTGGCTAACGCCTTGAGACAAGCCAGATCTAAAGCTTTTGTCTCCCAGATTCTTTCCCAGTCGGGCCGCTTACACTCCACTCCCAGGGACATCGCTTGACAATTTAGAACATATTACACTTCTCTATCATGTACCTACATCAGCGAGTGAGCCAACCACGGAACACATATTATCCACGATCTGTGAGTATTTATCCTCTTCAGGTCTTTCCACTATCTCATGAGAGCAAAGAGAATAACTGGAAGGTCCCATTTCTACTGATGAATTCTTACAGGTTCTAATTATTTATCTTGTCTCTAGAACCCTTCATTCGTACGATCCTGGACTCTACTGAAATATCTGGGTTACAGACATCCACTGGAATTCATAAAGTTGCAGCATATGTCAATGATTTAACTTTTCTATCTTACGAATCCGGAGGTATAGATTCCAAACCTCTTGGCCGAAATCTCACACTATGGTTACCTTTCTCCCATATGCATTATCTGGGCACATCTATTCCTGCTGACCCGGAGAGGGTATTTAGCCTTAACTTCCCTCCCCTATTACGATCCATCTCGACTGATTTGAATGAATGGGACTGCTCCACATTTAATGGGTTTCGATGCAACAGTATCTTGATAATGAATATTCTATCTTGCTTGCTATATTTGATGCAAACCCTTCCCGTGGATGTACCGCCATCTTTCTTGAAACGTGTCCGTTCCATCTTCAGCACTTTCCTTTGGACTCGGGGTAGAGCCCGGATCAAGCCAAGCCTCCTCATCAGGCCAAAGCTTGCAGGTTGTATCGGGTTCCCAGATACCGTTCTCTATCATTAGGGTGTAAATTTGGCTCGACAGATTGGTGCAGTCATTTTGAGACTAAAATGTGGGTCGGTTTGTGGCAGACTTTCTGTGAATTTCCCTTACAGAACCTACAGTGGCTTTACCCGGTCCCACCACTTTCGACGTGGTCTTGTCCTACGATTAGTGACCTTGAAGACAATTATACCAATCTTTCGTTCAACGTGGATTTCATCCTTGCCATTCACCCCCACACCAGTGCCGGGCAACCCAGCTTTTCCGCCGGGCTTTCGTGGAACTAGATTCCAGAGACTGCTAACTGAAAACGTATCCAGGTTACTGCCTTTTACCCAACAGGGTAGTTTAATGTCGATGCCAGAACTTTCACGTCTGATCACTCCTCCCTTGGACACATGGAGTTTCACGCAGTTATCTCATTATTTACGATCTTTTAAAGATCCTGCTCCCGTTATTAGGTCTCTTACACAGCTTGAGCAGGCATGTCTCAGTGCGGAGCCCCTCAGACATACCTTACGAGCCATGGTTCACTCTTGAATTACTGGTCAGATCGCCCACCACCCAAATTTCTTCAACTCTGGGAAACTGACCTAGCTCTCCATTCACCACCGACCCAAAAGGAATAAGATCCTGTTTTGTACAAGGTACCCACTGCCCTGCATAAGATGTTCCCATCCTCATCTCCCCTTAGTTGAAGATGTCTACAGATGGTTGGATCTCTGCTCCATATTTTCTGGGACTGCCCACCTTTATAAACTTTTTGGCATGGCGTTCCGGACGTTATAGCAAAAGTCATGGGTTTGGACATTGAATTGAATCCTGCACTTTTTTTGTAACATCTTTCGAACTCTATCAAGTTGTACAAATTATCTCTCCTGATTCATCTACTCAATGCTGCACGGGCACACATTCCATTTAAATGGAAGTCCCCGAGATCTCCCCTCAGTGGCCATGTGGGTCAACAAGGTGAACGACATTATGCTTATGGAGGACTTAACAGCATCTCTCCATGACAGATTTGATACATTTATGGTTTCCTGGCTCTGGCACACCCCCTTCCCAGATGGAACACTTTCTTTCTCCCCACCCCCTTTTTTTTCCCTTTTTCCTTTCTTCTCACTGTCTTGAGTTTCATTCTACCTCTTCTCCACTCACCTCTCTTCCTTTTTCGCCTCTTGCAACCTCACTCTACCATCTGCCGCTTTTTTACCACCCTCCTTGATTGTTTTAGCGTTTAACTTCCTTCACGGTTTTTGTTTTTCTGTTACAATTTAAAAAGCTGACAGAATGAGTGTACACACCTTCACAATTGAGTATATTTTGAGCTTGACCTTCCTGCCTGAATCGGTCTAAATGCACTCGCTCGTTTACATGACTTGCTTAAGCCACCTCTTTTTGTACTCTTGTTACATCCTGATTGTCTGGACATCGTTTTGTACCGTTTTGGTATTTCCTTTTACCATTGTGTGTTTTTACTCACCTGTCTTGTTAATAAAGAATAAAAAAAAAAAATAAAAAAAAAATAATGACTGCATAGTTTTAAGCACCAGTTCAATATAAGTACTGCTGTTAAAGACAATAGTAAATAAAAAAAAACATTATACATTACTTTGGGGAATAACAATGTATGGCAAACCCCCCCCCCCC